TATATTACATTACATTATGTTATATTTTCTGTATTTGTTTCTCATTCACCAAAGCAAATTCTTTTCATGTGGAAACAGATTACGTTCAAAACACACACACACACACACACACACACACACACACACACACACACACAGAGTTAGTACAGGTACAGTCTGATGGGAAACTCTGATCCCTGAAGATCTTCCTCCTCACTCAGCATTCATCATCTGTAAGTGTGTGTGTGTGTGTGTGTGTGTGTGTGTGAGTGTTGGTCTGTGTTTCGCATCAGCGCTCTGCTAGAAGCTCTGTGAGTTTACCCAGCATGTCCTCCCTCCCAGCAGGATCCATGTGATTACTGAAGCTTTGAAACATGTAAACAGTCCAACAGGTCGAGAGTTGCACTTCACCACCAACGTAACAGGAAACAGTTTGTTACGTCCTGATGTAGAAAACACGTCGACTTGTGCAGAATTTATAATGAAAAAGAATTTTTAGAGTTTATGTTGCAGGAGGTAAATCACATGACGTGCTGAGGTCGGACATAAATCAACTTCCTCAGGCTCCCGCTGCAGAAGCTGAACTGGTCAGCTCCCAGTAGGAGACTGGCCAGAGTCATAAACTGACATCCAACAGGAAGCGTCCACTGGGGTTCACATGTCGACTGTGAGAACACACACACACTAAATGAGGTCAATCTCTGATTATCTCTCATCATTAATCTGTAAAAATCTGATCTGTGTCGGCGCCTCGACTGTGACCTTTGACCTTGAAGCGCTAACATGTGAGCTATGTGTTAGCATGAAGCTCTTTAACATGAGATTAAAGGATCAGTTCAACCAAATTACACACACACACACACACACACACACACACACACACACACACACACACACAAATATATTCTGGATTTATTCTGTCTGGTTTGGGCAGATTTGGGTGAACTGACCCTTTAACACTTTAACTAACTAACACACACACACACACACACACACACACACACACACACACACACACACACACACACACACACACAGCAGGATGATGGGAACTGAGGGGGTGGGCTGCTAATTGTTAGCAAACAGGAAGTGTGTCATCCCTAACAGCCTGTCAATCATAGACACCGCGGAGACGAGGAAATGAAAACCAGGTGACACACACACACACACACACACACAGGCTGCCAGGGATCACCTGTCAATCAAACTGTGTGGGCGGGATTGAAATGTTTTCTTCTCTGGAGGTAGAAGAAGAAAAGAAAGTGCTGAATAAGGAAAGACAAAGAAGCAAGAAAACAAGAGAAGAAGGAGAAGAAAAGAGAAGGAGGAAAGAGGAGAGGAAACAAAAGTAAAGTAAAAAAGGTAAAAAAGGATGGAGGGAAAGAAAAAGGAAAGGAAGCATGAAGGAGGAAAGAAGGGGCAAGAACAAGAATGAAGGAGAAAAAGAAACAAGGAGATAAGATTCAGAAGAAAAGGAGAAGAGAAAATAGGACGAAAGAAAAGAAAGTACTGAAGGAGGAAAGAAAAGGAAGCGAGGGAAGAAGAAGGCAAAGAAGAGGTAAGGAAGAAGGAAAGAGGAAAGGAAACAAAAGTAAAGTAGAAAAGGAAAAGAAGGACGGAGGAAAAGGTAAGGGAGCATGACGGGGGTAGAAGAAAATGTAAACAAGGAGAGAAGAGAGGATAGGAGGAAAGAAAAGCAAAGCAAAAAAAGGAAAGGAAGCAAAGGAAAGAAGGGAAGGAAAAGCAGAAGAGGAAAAGAAGAAAGGAAGGGAAGAGAAGAGAAAACAAAAAGAAAGTAGGAAAGGTAAAAAGGGATGGAGGAAAAGGAAAGTCAAGGAAGCAGGAGGAGAACTGAAGAGGGCAGGAATAAGAATGGAGGAGGAAAGAGAGGGGAGGAGGAAAAAGGACAGGAAACAAAGGTAAAGTAGAAAAGGTAAAAAAAAAAAGGATGGAAGAAAAGAAAGGAAAGGAAACATGAAGGAGAAAAGAAGATGAGGTAAAGAAAAGGAGGGGAAAACAAGAATTAAGGAGGAAAGGAAACAATTAGAGATAAGAAAGGGACATGAGAGGATAGGAGGAAAGAAAAGGAGGTAAGAAAATGAGGGAAGAAAAAGGAGAAGAAGGAGAAGAAGAAGTGGGAGGAGGAGGAGGAGGAAAAGGAAACAAAAGGAGAGTGGAACAGTTCAACAATGACGGAGGGAAGCAAATGAGAAGAGGAAAGAAAGGAGGAAAGAAAAACACAAGGCAGGAGAAGGAGAAGAGGAGGAGAGGAAGGAGGGAAAGAGGACAGGAAACACAAACGATAGAGGACAGGTAAAAGAAAAAAGGATTAAGGAGATGAAGGAAAGGAAATGAGGAAGAAGGAGATAGAAATGAAGTGTGAAGAAAAAGAAAGGACAGAGGAAAGGAAATGAGAGAGAAGGAAAGGAACGAAGCAGAGGAGAGGAAAAAGAAGCGTGGGTTGTGTGTGTGTGTGTGTGTGGGGGGGGGGGGGGGGGGGTCAGTAACAGTGAGGGGGCGTTGTCGGCAGCGTCACATGATCTTTACAGAAACCAGCTGCTGATCAAACACACACACTGAAACTGTACACACGTCTCTCACCTCTGAGACAATAACCTCCCTCACAGGGGACAGGAAGGAAGGAAGGAAGGAAGGAAGGAAGGAAGGAAGGAAGGAAGGAAGGAAGCTACTCTTACTTCCTTCACTTCTCTCCTTCTCAATCACTTCCTGTGTGATGATTGATTGTTGTGTATTTGTAATATTTGTATCCAGGAAACGGGCTGGTGGTTAAATCCAGAGCGTTTCTTCTTCTTCTTCTGTGACTTTAATGTTTTTTGGTGCCTGATAAATAAACGTAATAAATTTAAAGGGACAGTTCAGGTTTTTTTAAGTGGGGTTGTTTGAGGCACTGATCCATTGGCAGTGTGTTACCAACAGTGTCTTTCAGTTAACAACATGTAACTGTAATATTTCAAAATAAATTATATTATTATCACCTCACAGGCTTTTATTGTGAAACTGAACTAAATTGAGACTTTTACTATGAAATTCATGAAGGTAAATACAATACTTTTAGAGAAGCACACAGCTAAATCACAGTGATATATGGAGTTTAATGTTGTGTTCACATCAAACATGATGCGAATTTTTGCGTCCCGTTTGAGTTTGAATGGTAGAATATTTTGACTTTACTCGCTTCATGTGCTTAAATAACTCACGTGTATGCAAGTGCCTAAAAGACGCCAAAAGGTGTCACATGTCATATGTGTTATTCTCGTTGCACAATTTATGTCCATTGTGCCGCCTGGCAGATAATTCACCTGCATTCACACCAAAGATGATGCAAATTTTCACACAAATTTGAACACTATAATATTTTGTGTTTACTTGCTTCATACACGCTTTTTTCTGTCATTTCTGTCAAACGCATGTAAAATCACATGTACGTGAGAGCCTAAAACACGTGAAAAGGTGTCATACATCACACTAAATGGTCACTGGCTATCGCAGCGTGAAACAGTCACTGAAGTTCAGATTTTTTAGCTCTCGTGAAGAAGTGTATGGCACTACTCACATAATTCACATCATGCGTGTCACGTCCAGTGCGTCCATATATGGAGTTTTATGTTGTGTTCAAACCAAACACGATGCAGATTTTCATGTCGTGTTACTCATGCGAGTTTGAACACTAGAATATTTTGTTTACTCGCTTCATATGCATGAATAACTCACATGTTCGCGAGTGTCCAAAAGACACAAAACGGTGCCAGATGTCTCCTGAGGATCTCAACGCTGACTGGCTATCGGTTGCTGAAGTTCAGATTCTTCAACTGTCACAAAAAAAAGGATATGACGCAAATTCGTGCCACTTAATTCAGGTCATTCGTATTGTGTACATCGCGTCCATTGTCCTAGCTGACAAAAGACAACAATATCAGTGTACGCAAAGTTTAAAATATTTTCACTTCTTTACTGTAATGTCAGGAAGTGATTTCCAGGCTCAAACGAAATTTGCAGATTTTTAAAATTGTTTTCAGTGGTCAACCAAAAATGAAAATCTGCAGAATGTTTCTCTTTCCAACAGGAAGATGAAGCCGCAAAATCGTTCTCTTCAACGCCACCAGACTCCACTGAGAAAAATCAATAATTTAACATCAGTGCATACAGTCTCTTTCAAAATAAAAGCACTACGTCAGTACAACACTACCAACTGATGTTTTTTTCTTTCGTCAAGGTGAGACAACTACACAGAACGGCAAGGTGACGTAACAGCGTGATATTTCCACCTTGAACAAGCGGTGTAAAACAAACTATAGAGAGACGAGAGCTGACTCAGAACTGAACATGTTGAACTTTTCCTTCAACCGCAACTTCTTCTCTTTGAAACAAAAAACAATCAACAATAAAAAATCTGTTTTAAATTTCCACAGAAACTTAACCAGCTGCTCAGAGAGGAGGAGGAGCTCCAACATGGCCGCCAGCCAGAGGAGGCGGGGGGTGGGGGGGTGTATACATGTCAGGTTACAGTTATACTGTAAAATAAATTCACCATAACACACACACACACACACACACACACACACACACAGGAAGTTCAACAGCTGCAACACACACACAGATCACATGAAGAAGATGTCAAACACACACACACAAACACGCAGTCACAGACGGAGTGAGGACTCACCAGCAGTCAGCAGCAGGATCAGTGAAGCTCCACTCAGATAAACAGACAGGAGACGCCAACTGGACATGATTCAGATCCAAAGAGTGAATGAATGTGTGAATGAATGAGAGAGAAGCAAAGAGTGCAGAGAGCAGAGCAGATGTGATGGTCCTGATCGACTGAGCTCTGAATGAACACACAGACTGAGAGTGAAAAGGGGAGGAGAGAAGGAGGCGGAGGAGGAGGAGGAGGAGGAGGTGGAGGAGGAGGGCTCTGGTTTTCCTGCCAAGTTTGTGTCCCGCTTGCCAAACACGAGGAGACACAAAGACAGAGCATGAAAGAGACAGGGAGAAAAAGAAGGACAGAAACAAACAAAAGTAGATGCAGACAAATCTGAGGGCTGAAACTGAAATGGTCATAGAGACAGTGGAAATGCAACATTTGGGCAACTTGGGTCACAATTTTGTTTACTGTGAGCAGTTAGATAAGTAGAAGATGAACTGATCTCCAAAAGACATGAAGTTGAAGATGAAACATGTGTTTAAACAAAAAAGATTGGGTTTATTTTTAATAGTAATAAACAATGTCTGAACGTTGTAGTGCAAAAAGTCAATAACAAATAATACAACAAGATGATGATTAAGTCCCAATGTCCTCAAACCAGACGATAGATAATAAACTCCCAGCGTCTTCAAACCAGTACTTCCTAATTAACAGTTTCTTATCTTGTTGCTGTGGCTAAAATTGGTCAAATTTGTTGCCATATCAAACTACAATCATTATTAACCATAAATAAACAAGTTTCAGCAATAACATGTGATCAGGTTCTGGACCGTGTCCACTTTTGTGTCGGGGTCGGCTGCAGACTGACTCTGCAGAGATGGCTGCCATCTTGTTTTTTCATGGCTCAGTGTATTGTGCTCTTACTGCCACTAGATGGCACAAACAGTGTCCACGTATAAGGACAACAGGTCTGAGTTACACAGAATGAAGTATAAGGTGCAGGAAACCCAAAATGTGACGTCCTCATGTGAGGACACCGGGTCTCAGGAAGGTAGCAAAGTGTTTTCAGGTAGCTGTTTGCGTCTGATGAATGTACATCATTGTGCTTTAAGCTTCATCACTGGCAGTGGAAACCGTGTTCATCACTGTAAACTGTAAACTGCTGCTAAACGTTCTCTGTCTGTCCGCAGACTTTTTAATTGGTTGGTTTTTATATACATAAATCTGAACTTGAGTCGGTTCCTTCTTCTCTGTGTACACCCATGTGTAAAAGCCAAAATCAATATGGCCTGCGCTCTCTCAATATTTTCTCGATGTTGGTCTCTGAGGGTTGGACACAACTTAGGGAAAATATTCGCGGAATAATCTACAGAAGGACCTGAAACTGTCTGAGCTGATTTCTGCAGAGGAAATAAAGTCAATTTTAAAGGACCGAATGTGATCGCTCCTCAAATTGTACATGTGTACGTACTGTCAAACTTCAAACACTAGTACGGGCTATTATTTGCTTAAATCACTGAAATCAACAGTGACAAATTTGTCTGTGTCTGATGCCGGAAGTCACCAACCACGTGCTGGTTCTCAACAACTTCGGAGTGAGACCGGGTTGGTCCAGCAAACCCTGGACCTTCACCCAGGAGGCTGCTCTTTTCTTAATGTATGAATGCAGAGCCAAAACATGATGTTTGCTTAACCTAACCACGTGTGTTTGTTGCACAAGGAAATAAAAGCATAAACAAGGTGTTTTACCGACACTGTAAATTTGTTTTAAAAAGTCACAATGCATGTAACGGGCATCTCTCTGAGGTGTCTCACCATCCATCTTCCCCTCCACCTCCTGTTGACAAAGTCAGCTCAGATACTATGTCACTTTAGAAACGTTATTATGATACGTTGGTATCAGTGGTTTCTCAAAAATCTACAATGCCAACATTTTCTTCTGGTGAAACTTCATCAATCAAGTGAAAATGACACTCATTTTGTCATTGACTTCTATACAATCAGATTGGAGTCGCCCCCTGCTGGCCATTAGAAAGGGTGCACTTTAAGTTTAAGGCACTTCAGCGATGGCTTCACTCTTCAGACCCAGAGGCTACGTCCATTATTTTATACAATCTATGTGCAGGCCGACAGGAAGATCTTCTTCCTGTGTTTACCTTCTGACTCTTGACCCCCTCCCAACCATCTGACCAATGAGAGATGGTCTCACCTGAGTGACCAAACCAGAACAGAGCAACTACAGATTTCTTAACATGGTGATTGTGCCACCAAATGTGGGTCCTTTTCAACAAATCAGTGTTGCATTTCCTGTTGTTACTATGCCAACACACCTGGGTGTTTTTTAGCAAATGGTTGCTTCTTCCACAGCGGTGATTTGGCCACATGGGTATTTTTTTTAGGAAGTCATCACTACATATTACAAGTTGTTGCAACTTGTTGCTGTGTTTCAAGTGTTTCAAACGAGAACAGACAAACTACAGGTGTAAAACTTTCTTCTCCTGTCTCACCCTCGGGAAACACTGAATTTTTAACCCTGCTGGATTTCAAAATATAAGATATTAAATCGTCTGACTGCAGTTTGACAAACTCATCTTGATCCTCAAACAGCTGCAGAGCATCAGACTTTTTTTCAACTTCCTGTCTGCTCAAGTCCCGACAACAACACACATTGTCTCCATCAGACTCCTCACAGCTGCATCACAACACAAATAAACCAGCAGCTTCAGCAGTTTGAATTTAAAACGTGCGGTCTGCTCCTTTAAAGCATTAAAGCCTCTTTTGTTTGTCGTGTCACAGCTGGACAGAAAAGAATAGACTCAGTTCAGGAGTCTGTTTTCTATTTCCAGTGTCAGGGAAACACACTTTGCAGTGACATCATCAGAGACCACCAAATATGGATGTTTAAAGTGACGGGTCCCAGGGGAAACGTACGAGTTTTAATGAGTCAGCTTCCATCAGTGTGTGGGAAACAATAAGAGCAACAACAGTCACTGTTACTGTGAACAAGGGGCTACTGGGAAGTGTGGGAGGAATGGGAATGAAGCCATGATGGGAAAATAATCTAAACTACATGGAAAATCAAATCATAGAAACAATATGGAAAGAATTGATGAATGAAATGTTTAACTAATAAATATGACACATGCACAGTTGTCTATCGTGTCGGGGACAGCCATGTCCCTCTGAAGACATTTTTATCACCACAAAGTTTCTTTCTTACTCCTCTCCCAGTGGGTGTTTTAGCAGTTGGTCACTGCATTTCCAGCAGCAACTGCGCCACCAAAACATGGGTGTTTTTAGTGACTCATCACAACATTTCAGTCAGCAGTTATGCTACAGAATGTGAGTGGGTTTTAGTGATGGCTCTCTAAAAACAGCCCGGTTCGATGGCACTATTGCCACTTGAAATGCAGCAAAAAGTTGCTAAAAACACCCATATTTGGGAGCTCAGTCACCACTGGAAATGCAGCAATGGCTCGCTAATAAACACCAATGTTTTGTGGCACTATTATCACTTGAAACACAGCAACAAGTTGCAAAAAACACCGTTTTTTGGTGGCAATAATCACCACTGGAAATGTAGCAATGACTTGCTAAAAAACACCCACATTTGATGGCACAGTTTCCACTTGAAATGCAGCAACACCTTACTACAGAACAGAATCACCACTACTACAAGTGCAGTCATGGCTCCCTTAAAATACCCAAATTCGGCGGCTAAATAGCCACTAGAAATGCAGTGATGACTCTCATGTATGTGTTTTTAGCGTCTTATTCCTTTTGTACAGCACTTGGTCAACACGAGTTGTTTTTAAATGTGCTTTATAAATAAATCTGAGTTGAGTTGAGTAGAAAAGTACCCGAGTTTGGTGTCTCAATTACCGCTGGAACTGCAGTGATGAACCGCTAAAAAATGGCTGCCTCTACAGTGGTTAATTGAGCCAATGAACATGGATGTTTTTAGCAAGTTGTTGTATTTCCAGTGGTGACTGAGCTACTATATGTGGGTGTTTTGGTGAGTCATTGCTGCATTTCCAGGCCGTTTACGCACTTACCGTGGGTGTTTTTAGTGAGTTGTTGCAACGTTTCCCCAACCCAAGTCTCTATGGACTGAGCTACTGCTGCCCCCTAGCAAGTCACTGCTGCGCTTCCAGTGGTCACGGAACACGGGTGTTTGCAGGAGGAATTTGCTGTGTTTCACGCAACAATTATGGCACCAAACATGGGGGTTTTTAGCAACTTGTTATGTTTCAAATGGAAACTGAGCCACCAAACATGGGTGTTTTTTTGCCAGGTGAGTTGTTTTGCTTTGTGTGTTGCATTGCCAGTTGTTTGAGCTACTGAATTCTGATGTTTTTTAGCAACTTGTTGCTGCCTTTCCAGTGGTGCTTTTGCCACCAAATGTGGGTGTCTTGTAAGTTGTTGCAGCATTTCAGGCTACTGTGCCACCGTACATGGGTGGGAAATTTTGCTGATGTAAACAAGTAGAACAGAAACACAAACACACATTCCCCACTTCCTCTTAAGTAAAGGATCTGAGCACCTCCTCCTTCCTCCAGCTGAAGTATTCACGTTCTCCGCAACAAGAGTTATTAGCAACTATTAGCATTCCACTAACTAGCATTATTTAGCTGCATTAATTCTGCAGAAATAAAAATGTCCACAGTCAAACGTCTCCTGAACTCCAGTCAGATATTTTCTCTCTGAGAGCTGCGTCCTGCTGCTGCTGCCAGAAAGTCCAAACCTTTAATCTAAAAATCACTGCTGACTCAGGGAGATAAAACCCCCAAATCTGTGATAATTACAGTCCTGGTTCAGCATAATCATCCGAAACACCCACTCAGCTTCCTGCAGAGCTGATCTGGGATCTGTTTTTAATCCACATGTTCAGAAAACATCAGGTGAACATTCAGCGGTCGGTCAGTTGCTGTTTAATCTGAACGAACCTCCGAAAAATAAAAAGTGGTTTTAATCTGATGTAATCCAGCTCTGACCACAAATTACAGCCTGGATGGACCCACGCTGATGTCCTCACGTCTTCTTGTCCTCATGTCCGTCTCATCTGGTCTCACATGTTTCTCATGAGCATAAAGTTCTAGTGTATCCTGTGAAGAAAGGACCTAGAAACTGTTAGCCTAGCTTAGCACAAAGTCTAGAAGCAAGGGGAAATGATTAGCC